GGAGGAGGAGGAGGAGGAGGAGGAGGAGGAGGAGGAGCTTCCACCCCCTCCTGCCGAGGAGCGAGGGGCGCGCACCAGGGAGGCCTGGCCGGAGGTCCCGCCGGAGGAGTCCCTGCCCCACGGCGCGATCCTTGGCCTCTTCTGCGTGCACAGGCCCTGGGCATCAAGTCGGGCAAGCCCCTCTACAGGAGGAGTCTTCTAAGATATTACAGAGGTAGGCAGGGTGCGATTTTTTGATCATGTTGTCTTTTTATTTTGTGGGCATTTTTTGAGCGTGGCGCATTTTTCGCCCAAGATCCGCTTGTAGGAGGACACGCTCAACCTCGCCCTGGCCGCGGGGCCCGTCGGCGGCGAAATCCGAATCCTGCCCTCGCCGATCAACGATTCTGTCCGATCGATGGGCGGCGGGGGTGGTGGTTGGTGTTTTTTCCAAGCCATCCTGTGGTGTCGGGTCCTCGTTTTGAAGAGACAGCGCCCCGCGTCTCCTCCTCCTCCTCTCCTCTCCTCTCCTCCTCCTCCCCCTCCTCCCTCTTCCCATCCGCCTCGGGCTCCATAGGGAGCTCCACCGAAGGCTCCAGTGGCGCAGGCCGCATGCGTCAACGCCACCCAGGACAGCGTTTCGTGGCCCCATAGGGAGCTCCACCGAAGGCCCCAGTGGCGGTGTCTACATGCGTCAGCGCCACCCAGGACAGCGCTTCGTGGCCCCATAGGGAGCTCCACCGAAGGCTCCAGTGGCACAGGCCGCATGCGTCAACGCCACCCAGGACAGCGTTTCGCGGCCCCAAAGGGAGCCTCACCGAAGGCTCCAGTGGCACAGGCCGCATGCGTCAACGCCACCCAGGACAGCGCTTCGTGGCCCCATAGGGAGCTCCACCGAAGGCCCCAGAGGCGGTGTCCACATGCGTCAACGCCACCCAGGACAGCGTTTCGTGGCCCCATAGGGAGCTCCACCGAAGGTCCAGTGGCACAGGCCGCATGCGTCAACGCCACTCAGGACAGCGTTGCGTGGCCCCATAGGGAGCTCCACCGAAGGCTCCAGTGGCGGTGTCCACATGCGTCCGCTCCACCGAGTTCGGCGCACCCCTCGCACGTTTTGGGCCCCACAGGGAGCTCCACCGAAAGCGGTACCCACAATGCGGCACTCGCAGCTGCACGTGGTTGGGTCCTTCGTCAGGCTAATTTGTTCATTGTTTCGCCGATCGGGGAGGGCCTTCGCACCCCCCCCTCCCCCCCATGGAGTAGATCTTGGCTGTTTTTTGGCGCCTGTTTTCGGGCAGGTGGCGTCTCCCCCAGAGGCAGCACTCTTGCACACAGTCGCACTAAGCAGAGGTCCAGAGCCAGACCCCCCCCCCTCCACCCTTCCGCCCAATGTCGAAACGCCGAATAAGAAAACGCTCACGTTCGGAATTCGTCGAATACGCGCCGAAATCCGAACGCTGCCCCCGCCTCCCATCGAGTCAGGAGGATCGATGGCTGGTGGGCGCGTGGGATTCGGACGTCGCCCCCCGGCCGAGCTGCGCCGCAGCTGCGGTGGTGCGTGCGGCAGGCTCGTGCGATGTCCTCGCGGCAGGGAGCCCGGCGCGGGCGTTCCAGGTGGGGTTGCAAGCCGACGTCGAGCGATTCTGCGCCACCTGAGAGCCGCTACAGTCACCTCCTCCTTCCCCTCCTCCTCCTCCTCCTCCTCCTCCTCCTCCTCCTCCTCCTCCTCCTCCTCCTCCTCCTCCTCCTCCTCCTCCCCCCCCCCGCGCCCGCGTGCCAGATCCACGGATACAGTGGAAGTCCATGCTGAGAAACACCCCGCTTGCCTCCAGGGTGCCCTGGGTTTCTTGGGTCTCGAGGGTTCTGCGATGGAAAGCGTCGCGTTCCCACGCCAGAAATCGATGGACGCCCTGGGGTCTCAGGGTTGGGTTTCTTGCGGAGTGGCCTCCACTGTATCGTTCAGGGGTGAAGGACCCTGGCGGTGTCGGGAGAGTTTGCTGGCGTGGTCCCGGCACGAGCCTGCCGTCTCTGCCAGCTATGATGCCTCTCCATGGATGTGTGTCGTTTTTTTCTGCAGATGTGCAGCCGTTTCTTTGGGTGGGCCGCGCTTTTACCTCTTTTCGTCGCTGGTGCTCCTGAGGAGTTGCCAGGATGTTGGCCTTGAGTGCCGATGCGACGTGGGTGTTCGATAAATTGGTTGCCGTCTCCGATCCGACCTAGCGATTCGATCCCAGGCTCTCCTGGTAAGGGCCTCGCCTTTGGCGCCTCGGGCCTTCGGCGGGGGCCGGCGGAAGTAAAGCGTCGCCGGGCGCGCCGGCGGAGGCTGGCAGAATGTCGGCGGAAGGCGGCTGAAGTGAAAGTGTTGCGTCAGCATTTTTGCATGTAGGGTTTGTGGAACTGGCCCCGTGAAGGAAACGAGTTAGAACGAGGGCAACAGTGAGGTTGAGGCGGACGGCGCAAGTGAAGAGAGAGCGAGCGAGAGAGAGACAGAGAGAGTAGGGGCATGGAGTGATGGTGGCGAGGGCAATTGTGAAGATGCGAAGCAAGTATATATTGCGAGATATTGGAGGTCAATGAATCTGAGAGCGATGACGCCGGTGACGATGGGCGGGGGTGAGACTTGGATCCAGAGAGCAGCATCGAGATCCTGGGGCACTGGCTATCATCAAGGGCTGGCGTGGGGGGGCAGGCCTCCTCCCCCTCCTCCGCCTCCGCCCCTCCACCCAGCCCCGAACAGGCACTTGGCGCCGCAGAAGTGTCGGCCTGGCTACATCTGGGCCCGCGGGCCGGTGTGCCACCTTATATCCAAGGCGCCCCCGTGCGTAGGAGGAGGAGGAGGAGGAGGAGGAGGAGGAGGAGGAGGAGGAGGAGGAGGAGGAGGAGGAGGAGGATGAGGAGGAGGAGGAGGAGGAGGGGGAGGAGGAGGAGGAGGAGGAGGGGGAGGAGGAGTCCGACGACGAGGACGAGAGCACGACGTTGTTTACCGTTGAAATTTCCACATTCGCTTAAGGACTCCTCCTCCTCGCCCTCGTCCCCGTTGTCATCATCGTCGTCCTCGTCGTCCTCTCCTTTCCTGTTTCTTCGCCCTCCACGGGAAGCCGCTTGCCCGGAGCCTCAGAAGCTCCGCCTGCCTGATGCCCTGCCTCTCCTGGTGTATTCTTGCAGGGCTTCGTCGCGTGGGCCACCTTGGAGGCTCCTTGGGCGGACTCGCAGCCATCTTGGGGCCATCTTGGGCCGTCTTGGTGGCTTCTTTGGCGGACTTGGAGGCAACTTGGACCATCTTGGGCCATCCTGGATGCCACCTTGGGCCAACCTGACCATCCTGGAAGCCATCTTGAGCCGTCGTGGAGACTTTGTTGTGGACGTTGAGGTTGTTTGTGCGGCGTTCCGCGTGGCCGGCGCAATGAGCCGAAGTCCCAGAGGGAGTTCTGCTGGAGAAGAACCAAAACCCAAACCGTATGGGGTTCAGCACGTCAGGCACACCCCTGTGATGAATCAACAGGGGGCGGCGGATCGAAGACGCCTGCGGCGAATCACCGCCGCCCCCTGCCTTTGTGGAAGCGCCTATGTGTCCGACAGCTGGGCTAGAGCTTGGCCAAGCCCCGAGTCGGTTTGGAAAGGTTTCGGGGAACGCGGGGGGGAGGAAGGAGAGGAGGAGGAAAAGGAGGAAAAAGGAGAAGGGGGAGGATGCCTCTTCGGAGCCTCTTGAGGCACTCTTGGGCTCGATTGGGCCATCTTGGGACCGTCTTGGAGGCCATGTTGGGGCTATCTTGGGCTGTCTTGGGGCCTCTTGAGGGCCTCATGGGGCCCTTTTGGTGCTTCTGGGCGGTCTTGGGGGCCTCTTGGCACGTCTTGGGACAGTGAAAAGCCATAAGGAAATCATTGCTTTTGGCTTCCCAGAGCCCTTTTGAGGGTTCTCTTAGGGGGCCTCTTGGGGCGTCTTGGGGGCGTTCTCGGCCGTCCAGAGGCCGTCGTGGGCGTCTTGGACCGATCCTTCGGTGATTCGGGGCTCTCTTGGGCCATCTGGGGGGCCTCTTGGGCCTCTCTTGGCCTGTCTCGGTGCCCTCTTGGGGGCCGAAGACGTATCGCGACGGGGCGCGACACATCCCAGGAGGCACGCTGGGAGCCGCGGGGGGCGCGCGCTGGGAGCCCCAGGAGATCTTTGCGTGTGGGGTCCAGGCCCGACCTGCAGGATTGAGGGCCGAGTCTCAGGGGCTGGGCAAGGGACCTGGGGATCCTCCACTTTGTGCCACGGGGGTACGGTGGCGGATACATGCATACACATACATCTATATACATACGTCTATATACATACGTCTATATACATACATACATACATACATACATACATACATACATATAGATATGTATATGTGTATATATGTATGTATGTATATATATGTACATATATATATATATATATTCAAGGTTAAGATTCACGCAAGTAAAACCAGAGCAACCAGAAACACCATAGCAAGAACACAATAAGCGGCACCGCTGCGACAGGGTCGGCGGAAGCGGCCGCCAGGCCCGTGCTAGAGTTCTGAGTCGCAACGGGCCCGTCTTTTCGCTGAGCCAGAGTGCCAGCTCCTGAGCTACTGTCCACATGGCAGCTCTTCTCTACTTCTTGGCACGTCCAGAGGTGCGTCCTTTACGCACGAGGTCGAAAGGAGTGCGCCTCTTTCCTCTGCGCAAGAGGTGCCCCTGCTCGCGCAGAGCCGCAATGACTGCTAGGCGGCGGCGCACGAAGGAAAATGATGTTCGGGTCCTCTCCGCCGTGGGACCCCGGCTCCCATCTGGAGCCCTGGCATTTCCTCTTTTTTTGCGGAGAGAGGAAACGAGAGAGAGAGGGCGGGAGAGAAGAGGAAGAGGGAGGGAGGGAGAGGGACAGGGACACACACACACATACATATCGATATATGTGTACACATGTATACATATGTATGCACACAGAAATGGAGAGATGTGGCAACAACATGTATATATGCATGTATGTGGGTCTGTACATGCATACGAAATACATCAATCCGTCAATACACGCGAAACTACATCCATCCATACATCCATGCATTCATACCTGCATAAAAGCATACATACACATATGCATACGTATATTCGCATACATACATACAAACACATACATACATGCAAACATCACTGTATACATACATACATACATGGATACATATACATACTCACATGTCGATACATGTGTGTATATATAGATATATGTATATATGGGTCGATTCATTTTTTATATATATATATATATATATCTGTATCGATATCGATATATGTATATATACACAGTGTTCGGTACACATGTGCCCGCATCTCTGTACACAGAGACATCTTCATATCGATCAATCAGTCGATTTATATGTACAGGCAGTTGGACATATACATATATATATGCGTACATACAAATGCACATGTGTGTATATGTGCACGCATCGATCGACACTCACACTTAGACATATGCCGATGTACACACGGATCCATATATACACACGTTTGTTGATACACGTGTTTACACGTGTATACACGTGTATACACACGTAGACATATATCTACACATACATGCACAATACACACGTGTACTAATATATGGAACCAGTCTGTATATTCATATATATATATATCCATTTGTGTATGTTTGTAGGCGTATACACATATATCTACACACAGCCATACGGCAATACATACATACACGCGGACATTCACCATCTATACATCCATGCATGCATGCACTCATACGTATCTACACATACATACAAATATACATTAGCATACTTAGATTGTCGTGCATACGCATATACATACATACACATACTTATATGCATACACATACACACATACAGCTTCAACTATTGGCACACTCAATTTCTGTTTATGCACATATATGTGTGTGTGTCGGTTCGTATATACATATGTAACGATACCGATGTACAAAATCATGGGTATTCATCTACACGTATGTAATACTATCCCGATCGATCGATACATCGAGTTATGCGTAGAAGGTTTTGGCATGCATATATATATATATATAGATCTACATTTATGCATGCTTTTATATGTTCATATACAGGTTCTATACATGTACTTACATACGTAAACACATACACACATGTTTACACATATGTATGTATGCATGTATGTATGTATGCATACACATAAATATCATCATACTCATACATTTGCCAATGTACGCGCATACCAATATACACGCTCGTCTGTATTTACAACTGCACGCACATGTTTGCACACTTATATCGATACATCGTGCAGTATATGGAGAGGGAGAGAGAGAGAGAGAGAGAGAGAGAGAGATAGAGAGAGATAGAGGGAGAGAGAAAAAGGGAGGGAGAAAGAGGGATAGAGAGGGGCTGGCGAACGAAGAAACTCACGCCGCTCCTGGGCCCTCGCGCCGCCGACGGACGAGCCCCGTCAGGCGATCGAGCTGCCCCGGCCCATCTTCTGCTCTGGCGGCGGCGGGCTGTGGTCGCTGCCGCCGTGGGCGCTCGCGGAGATTGGCAAGCAGCTCCCAGAGGCAGAAGGGGAAGGGGAGAGCGCATTCTGACTCGGGACCCCTCCAAGGGGACCCCCCCTCGACCTCTTCCCCTGCGAGGCCCCTACATGTCGGTATTCGGGAATTTTCGGCCTCCGGGGGCCCTCGCTGGCTGTCAGAAAACGACTCGGGACCGGGACCGGAGAATGGGTCGATACTTCTGAGATTTGGAAAGTGGCACCAACACTTCGACCACCCCCTCGGGCCCTCCCCACTGGACCCCCCCCCGCGGGAAGGAATCAAAGGGAAGGAGCTTCCTCGACTTGATTTCGACCTGGCTCGATTCACCGCGGGTTCGCGAGTTTGGAGAGCCAAATGTGGCCACCTGGAAGGGATGAAGAAATTCGATTTAAACAGCGCCTCCCAGGACCACGGCGGTGGGAAGCGTCCAGTTAGCAGGCAGTGTCAAGGGAAGGGGGGTCACTACTACGGGGGGTCGACAGCTCATCGACAAGGGAGGGTATTTCAAGATTTGGGGTGTTTGGGGAAATGCGGTGGGGATTGGGGTTCCTGAGGGGTCTGAATCCTCGAGGAGATGATGATGCCCCTGGTGGCGACCCCTCTTGGCGCTGATTGGGCGCACCAGAAATCACCTCGCCCTCGGCGGAAGCCGGCGGAAGCCCGCGGCAAGCCTCGACGGCTCGAGTGACACAGAGCGTGATCTCGTGCGTGCTGGGTCGCAAGTCCCAGCCCGAACACCGACCTCTCTTCCCTTCAGCCGCCATGGCCAGCGCTGCGAGGCGCACATGATGGGGAAAACCTCCAAGAACCCCGAGGTCGGCGAGGTGAGCGCTGGATCGCTGCACGACGGTCCTGAACCTGGAAGCAAGATCGACCATGCCGACAGCGGCATCCAGGGAGCAAGTGCACGTGGGTGGCAAAATGGCCCTTCGACGGGCCGTGCGAACATTGAGATTGGAGGGACAGGTGGCACCATGGCAAAAGGTATACCAGAACCACGGCGGCTGCACTTCTTCCAGCAATGCATGGAGTCACTGCTCCTGGGGCAAGACCGACATCTACGCGTTCGACTACGACACCAGCTCGTACATCGCCCACTACACCAAATACGGCCACCAGCGCCGCCGTATATTATCATCACCGCCGTCGCCGAGACAAACGCCATACCCAGCTGCTCACTATCTGGACCTACGACTGTGAAATCTTTCTTCGGGCTGATCGCTTGGCAGAAATCCTCAGGCTAGCAAGATCCAGGGGAGTGGCCGTTGTCAGCCTCCAGAGCACCCTCATGGAGCTGGGCATTCCCTGGACCACCGAGGGATACAGGATCATCCCCACTCCGCGCACGACGAGAACGAGCAGGGACGGCTGCTTGATTGCCTTTGACCTCCGCATCTTCGCAATTTCAGAACTTAGAGTATCTCACGCTTGGATGGATGGGAGATTTCAAGGTATTCGACTTACCCGCAAGGGACCCAAATAAAGATACCTATACATCTTGAACGGCTACGCCCCCCTCAACGAAGTTGGCCCCGCGAGAGCTGGTGAAGACCAACATCAGAAGAGCATCGCCCACCGCGACCTCGAGGACCGCTTTTGGGATACCTGCAGGTCCGCCCTGAGCCAGCTGCCGCAGCGGGTCGCCCTAGTGATGACCATGGATGCTAACGCCGCCATGGCGCCTCAGCTCCCGCACGTCGGCTTCTCGGGCCAGCGCCGTACATGCACTGACTTGAACGGCAACGGCGCCCGCCTGCTAGACCTCCTCCAGACGTTCCACCTGTCGGCTCTCAACACCTTCGGCAAGCGCACGGTGCAGAACGGTACATGGAAGCATGTGATCGGCAAGGGATGGACGACCATAGACTACATATGTATCAGATTGTGCGGTGCCTACGGCACCAGAGCTCACCCCCTAAGGGATCTACCAGTCAGCCTCGGAGGATATCGTGACCACCGCCCAGTGGAAGCTCACATCTATGCTGGCGTGCGTGCAAAAAGAGTTCCCGAACCCAAGCCAGCTAGATGGGATCGCGAAGCTCTGGTGAGGGACCTACGCCTTCTGAGAGATGAGAATGCCGATATCCCACCTCACTTAGAAGCTATGAGTGACCACCTCCAGACCCTTCTCCGCCAACGCAATCTAACCCAACAGTGGCGTCTTGTTTGTGGAGAGGGCCGGCCAACCGGACGGCACACCTTCAGACTACTTCAATGCGCTGGAGCATTCGTTGGTTGAGGCCGCGCCCCCACACTACCTCCTCCAGCCGACGAAGGTGAACAGGCCGAAGCTACAGGATGCGACCTTAGCCCTGATAGACCTGAAGCACGAGCTCCAGAGACGCATGGCCCTCCATGCGGACCAGACCACCGCCGCGCACGGCCGCCTCCAGTCCAGGTTTGACGAGGCCGCCAGAGCAGCAGCCAAAGCAGTTCGAGCTGAGCGCCGCCAGCGCCTCGCCGAGACGGCCAGAGAAGCAGAAGCAGCTGAGGCCGCCATGAACCTCCGCCGCCTGCGCGCCGTGGTGCGGCGCCTGGCCCCCAAACCTGTCGCCCCTGTCGTCGTGGCCAACAACCCCGCAACAGGCGGGACTTGCCAGGGCGCCGAGGAGGAGGTCGAGGTCCGAGCCCGAGCTTTGAGCACCATCTTTGATGGAACTATCATCGACATGAACAGCCTAGGTGGACCCCCAGGCCTCCTTCCGCGAGATGACACGCGTATTGGCACCTACAGCATCGACGACATAACGAAGGCCATCCACAACATGCCGAATTTCAAGAGTGCCCCAGTCCTCAAGATGCCAGCGATGAGCGACCACGAGCCCACTAGTGAACCCCGCACCGACAGCCACGTCGACCAGCCCTTCGATGGACCCATCATTGGGATTTGGAAGTTGTGCGTTTCTGAAACAGCCCCAGCCTTGCAGAATGTGTTCCGCGCCTGCCAGGCCCATGGCCACTCCGCCCAGCGCTTCAAGGGCGGAGAGACGGTCTCCCTCAGGAAGCCGAAGGGCGACGGCAAGAGCGCCAAGGACCATTACAGAACGATCAACCTGACCAATCACATCGGCAAGGTCTACATGAATGTTACTGCCATGCCCGAGCTTAGAGGACTGGCGTCTCGTATTTCATTTTCGCAGTTCGGGGCTTTGGCTGGCAGGTCTACCCGAGATGCCCTGGCGGTTGTAGCTGAAGTTTTCCGACGGTATCGCCTGCGTGGACGCAGGTCGCGGCTTGGGTCGGGCGCAACACCTGGTATGCTCCTAGCTGTTTTGATTGGCCTTGAGAGGGCGTTCGACCTGATTTATCGTGATGAGATTTGGACCGCGCTCGAGACGCTCGCCGCCAAGCGCAATGTCAGACTCGCGGTAGGGGAGCTCCGCGAAGGCACGTGCTACATCGCCCGCGACATCAGGACCAACATGCCCGTTGGGAAGCTCCTCGTCCTGAAGGGGGCCCGCCAGGGCAGCGTCGAGGGCCCGCTTCTGTTTGTTGCAGTGTACGACCTCCTCACGTCGGCCCTTGAGAACAGCCGCTCCGTTTCTAAGTTTCCTGAAGTGTACGTCACCTTCGACCCCGAGCTCAAACGTATTAGGGATCAGCATAACCTCATGGGGGGCGAAGGAGAGGAGAGGATGGTAGTCTCGCCGATAAAGTTCGTTGATGGCCTGATCGCCTTCACCATCGTCGAAGACTTCGAGACAGCCTTTCGGTTCCTTGCCTTCCTGCATCCCGAAATCTCGAAGGGCAAGATGAAAGTAAACGACACTATGACCGATATGCTAATAGTAGTGACTGACAACATGAGCAAGCAACGCAGGACTACGATTAGAGCCGAGCAAACGAACATCATGATGCACATCGCACCAGTACAAGCTACAGCTAGTGTCAAATATCTTGGTGCTATGCAGCGGGAGGACGGTTCGATGGTGGAGGAGGTAACTCATAGCATTCAGGGTAGTAACGCTGCACATGCACGCCTAGCCCGTCGAGCTTTTAAACGCCGCGTCAGTGTTCGGCTTCGCGTTCGACTATGGTGCTCGCTAGTTCGATCGACCCTCCTCTATGGCCTCGAGGTTGCGGTCGTGACCATGCGTGACCTCAACAGGCTTGAGCACTGGCAGACCCGTGAGCTCCGCTACCTTGCCCGTGCTCCCTCTCATGTCCACCATGTTTGTAATGTGGAGGTCAGAAGGCTCGCGCGTGCGGCGACGGTAGCCTCAACCTTGCTCGAGAGAAGGCTTGTCTTGTGGACGGGCGTCGCGCGGCCAGCCTTCCCCGACCTCGTGAAGAAAAAGCCCCGGGAAGGTGACGGCGAAGATGACGCCTCCAAGTGCGATCCCTCCCGTCTGGTTCGAGCGGTTGTGTTTGGTATATTCAACTTCGAGGGACCCCGTCATAAAGAAGTCAACTCCCTCCTGGGACTCTTAGGTGATGACTTGAGGCAGCTCCGGGAGACCATGGACTTCGAGGCCCAACAAGAAGCCCGTGATGCCCATGCCCTGGTTGATCCCGAACCCGCTCCGACCCGTCCGTGGCATCGATGGTTGTGTCAGGTCCCCCGAGCTCATCTTCGGCAAGTGCGAAGGTATGCGACCGAGGATGAAGCGAAGATGGCCGCGGGCGTGGCCCCTGCCCCTGAGGTGATGATCAAGTGCCCAGTTTGCCCCCGTATGTGTCGAGGCCCCAAAGGTTTGGCCCATCATATGTTTTCGGTCCACAAACAGTGCGCCAACCCCGCGGACCTCGCTGATGACCAACTAGGATCCCTGAGGTGCCCCGGATGTTCTACTTCCTTCAGCAGAAAGGATGCGCTGGTTCGTCATATTCAAAAACATCGGTGCCGTGTACCACAGGCGTGCGAGGCTCAAGATCCAGAGACGGCAGCTCCAGACCTACCAGGCCCGCGGGCTCCGCCTCCTCCGCCAGCCGCACATGTTCACCCTGATTGCGGAGATCTCCAACGGTGTGAAGCGCGGCGCGGAGGCCCCCCCCCGAGGGGCGGGCCAACGAGGAGAAGG